TGAATAAAGTGACTTATCTGACTGTTTTGTTTCCTGTGCGCTTTATGTATGAAAACAGACCTGTTCATTGATGTTGCGCCTTATAATCCAAAAAATACGGTATACATCTGAAGTTTTGCGTGAAAAAGGGCGTACGCCACGTTTTTGTACATGAGGCCCCAGATGTATTGTACATGTACATAAAAAAATCATGAAGATGAATTATAGCTGGAGTTTGTGAGAGATTTTTGATACATCCTAACTAAAAGACCTCCAGTTAAGACATCATTACATTTAGTCAGAGTAGATGTGTGTTTCTCTGTGGGTGTGGACCAAACTGCCGCCTCATCAGCAGCCGTGGGCAGATTTGACTGGAGAGTAGTGTGTATTCAGAGGTGACTTTCTGGTCCCTCCTCCACTGGTTTCTGCTTCGGTATGCACTGATGTAGGCCAGTGCTGTCTGTTTTCAGTTATTTTGTAGGTGTACTTTTGGAATGGGGCCATCCTCATGCATCATCTTTAATCCTCAGGCATCACATCCTCTGTTGGCCTGGACCATGTCCTTCTTCACATGTTGTTATTCTGCTATGAAATAATACTGAGATGAATTAACATTTGTAGCTGTGATAAGCAAGAAATAATAATATTACAAAAAAAAAAAACTGGAACAAAATAAGTGATGGATTTAAAACATACATATGGCAAAATATACCAGTGACTGTTTAAAAAAACCTAAATTTACTCATTTATATTTACTTTAGTTGTTTTTATTCTCTCTCATTCCTTTCTTCCATTCTGTACTTAAATATTAAGTGCTTAGCTAAGAAATTCAAATATTTTAAAGGAAATGATAAGCTCTTTTTCCAGTGGAAACTGAATGAATGCTTAATTGTTTTCGAGGTTAGCGGTCTCCTCACACTCCATCCAAAGTTGTTTTTTGTTAAAGTTCATATCAGAATGAGGCTACACCCTCAATTACACTAATGTTTATCATCTGAACAGGGGTGCTTCCAAGGGGGTGAACAAGGGGGTAAATGGCCACTTCAAAAAAAAAAAAAAAAAAAAAAATGGCTGCCCTTGGGCCAGACAATTTTTTTCCTAGTTTTTGCTTGGTCAGCATTTTTTAATTTCACCTGACTTTTTAGGATTAACATAACCTCATAAACATAAAAACAATATTTTTGAGCAGTTAGGAAGTTATTATTTTTATTTAAAATAAAAACTAAAAACTTAATATTTAGTCCCCCTGAATCACTATCAGTCTCAAATCAATGTCCTCAGTTTGGAAATTTTAGGAGGTTATTTGCATAATATTTTTTATGAATGTAAATTTAGGAGAGGACAATTATCAATAAGATGAAGATTCATTCTTTCATTCATTCAACCTTTATTTATACAGGCCAGTTTCATTGAGCCACGAGGACTCATTCACATGAGGGACCTGTTCCAGTCCGAACATATAAAGTACAGATAACAATAAACAATAATAACAATAAACTACAGTAAAAATGTAGTTAAAATAAGTAGTGTATAAAACAATAAATCAGAGTGCCGTAAAGCTCCTCTCCTAAAAAGCCTTCTCCTACTCTGCTCCTGTTTCCTGGAATATCTTGCAAAAAGATCTGAAGCTCTCGACCTTGACGTCTCTAAGTGGCTTTAAGCATCTGTTGGACTCCTGGCAAGAACCAATGCAGACATGTTCCTGTTTTCTACACTCACCTTATAATCTAGCTGTTTTTGCTACTTTTTTGCCATCTAATTTTAATTTGTAAAAAAAAAAAAAAATCTGTATGCCTTTTTATGATTGTCAATTGTTGTTGTTGTCCATTGTTTTACATCATTCTTTGTTGAACTCAGGTCTCTCTTGTAAATGAGTCCTCAAGGCTCAATGGGATTAACCTGTCTAAATAAAGGTTGAATGAATAAAACAGGGTAAAATCCTAAAAACAAGAACATATCTGCCTTAAATTTTTCCATTGACATTATCAAATGTTTCAAACCCCTTAAAGAAATTAGGGTGGACAGTTTCAGTTCCTGTTGCAAGGTATTCCATGTTGCAGGAGCTGAGTAGGAAAAGGCCTTTTTGTCAAGTTCAGTCCACAATTAGTGAACGCTGCAGGTAATGATGGCCTGAGAGCGCACGTTGTAACCGCACTGACAATGTGACATGTGGGAGGAGATATAAGAAGGCAGCAGACCAAGGAGGGATTTATAGATGAAGATGAACCAGTGTGAGAGCCTACGTGTAGATAATGATGACCAACTGACCAAGGAGTACAAGGTGCAGTGATGGTACCGTAGTTAAAACCAGTTACCAGTCAGTGTCAGCATCCAACATCTGCAAGTAGCTGGCAGGGGCATTCATTCTAAATAATGTCACCATAGTCAATGGCCAGTAGGAAAGTACCGGTTACAAGGCGTTTTTATGAGTATTGGTGCTTTTTTCAACAAAATAGACTAATATATACAGAACCAATGTATTTCAGATGGCAATTTCATATTGCTGTTTAACAAATAACCTATAAATGTGACTTGGCTAGTCGAGAATTAAGTTGCAAAATGCTATGTAGATCTTATAACGAGTTATAGTGAACTGGTTAAATTCATAATGATTGTGTTTTGTCAAAATATGATGAAGGTTACTTATTTGTGAGTCTATAAATGAAATGTCCATCCATCCATCCATCCATCCATCCATCCATCCATCCA